GAAATGCTGTTCTACACCAATTCCCAATTTATACAAAATTAAGTCCTATTTAAGTGGTTAAAAAGGAAGAATGTTTTCAGGAGCAAGTACCTTGGATCAAAGATCAATGCACAAGAAAACAAATTGCCTCAGAGTGTGGTAACACAGTTTAATAGAATAATTTTACAGCTAGCAAGCCATATTGTGAAAGAAAAGTGATTTAAAAAGATGAACTTGATAAAACTGCCTTTCAGATTGCCTCACAAGCACTCAATCTTTGGTGACTTAACCAAAACACATGTTCAAAGAATTACGAGTTCTGCATCTCTGGCATCTCTAAGGCAGATCGAGCTGCTATCTACAGTGTCATGTGGGAGAAAAATGGGATTCAAGAGGTATGCACACAGATACATATAAAAGCCAAAAGCAGCCTCTACATTAGACTATGTATTAAAACTATCATCTAGACCTGGCCAAGAATAAGGTCCCAGCATGCTAACTGCTGCATAAATAAACAGCTCCACTGACTTCCAACAAAGGATGGAAAACAAATATTAGGGCTCTGACTCACACACAGATGGCAAATGACTGGAGTGATGAGCCTTTGAGTCAGCTCCTACCTGCTTCAGCTCCATTTAGCTTGTGGCTACAGAATTGTCACCATCAATAGCCTGGGCTAAAACACCTCAGCAAGGTCCAGCCCAGCTGAGGCACCACATACAGAACCCTCTTTCTCTAACACACCTCCTTGGGAAGGCTGCTAAATACAGGCAAGAGACGCAGACCTGAATGTAATTCTCAAATTTCCTCTGGTTTAGAAGTGGGGAACTGGGTCACAGAGAGACAAACAGTTTTCTCAAGGACAGGTAGGTATAACTAGAAAGCTAAAGCTGCGTTCGCAGAATCAGCAAATCTTTGGGAGAAGCCCATCCAATAGTAGAGGAAGCCAAAATTCCGTGACTTGAAGGGCTCTGCTAGGCTGGAGGAACACCAAGTTTGACACTGTATATAATGACTCCATGTTTTGTGGTTTGCCACCTTTTGTAGCAAACACTGGTCCCTGCCGATACATCCAGATACCAATTGAGTTGTGCTCAAGTGAGACAACAACTCTCAATCCCCTGCAGGCAGTCAAAAAAATGAACTCCCTCTGGAACTTCAGTAGCCATTTGTTAGCTCAGGAGTATAAAGGAGAGAGAGATGTAAAGCAAACTAATTACATTTGATGGGGGCTTTTTGGATCTGGATTCTGAGTTACAAAAGAGATTGGGAATGGCTGTTTATTGTCAAGCCCCCAAAAGGAGATTGAGGGCAAAGGAGAAACAAGGATGTTGCTATTATTTATGTTGCTTGAGCACTGGCCATTGGAAATGCATTTCTCATTGAGTGATTAACAGTCATCCAGCACAAAGAGCAAATAAAAACCTTGTCTAATTCAGTCAATCCCATTCTTTCTGCCCTTACTGCATTAAATCACGTGAAACTGGCTGTTTTATTTACTGTCACTTCTTAATATCATTACTCTGCTGTGATGTCATGTTTCAAAATCAGGAATAATTAAAAAAACACAAGAGATCTTTAACTAAAGTTCTTTGCTCTTGAAAATCAATAACTTTAGGCTTCATTTAGCTCCCTGTAGATAGATTCACATCCCTGCACAGATGAAGTTACCAAAATCAATAGAGCTTTGCAGAGGCACAGGGGGTCAGTCTGTGCAGAGCTCCTCTGACTTCATGAGCAAAGCACTCGCTGCTGGGTCCAAGCTTCCATCTGCATTTGGGTTTAAAAAGGTTTCTCAGCTCTAGAATACACTGTGAAAGCCCTTGATTAAGTCATTATGATGCATAATTCCCTGGCATGCCAAGAATCTAGTCCCAAATTGATACAAAGGCAAGTCTGCTAAGGATGAATGGGTATTCTGGGGTTTTATTGTGAAAACTCAGAATTACATACCCTGAACTGCTGGTGTGGAGTTTGCTCACTGTTAGAATGCCCCACAGATTAAACGCAATCACCCTCACTGCTGCCTAATGAAAGACTATCACGGTCCCTCTCCTGCTGTTTTGTGAGGCCAGTGGGTTTTGTGTCGGCTCAGTGCTTCTCCCCACGCTCAGTGAGCTGGGGCAGGACACTCCTCCTGGCTTGGATGGGTCAATTCCCAGCACGGGACAATCTCCCAGCCGGGGTGTTTCGGAGTTGCTTTATTGCCTACAGCAGCCTGCCCAAATAAGTAAATGCCTTGCATTGAGGTTATTTGAAAGAGTCTAAAAGAATTGAGCTTTCTGAAAGAGCATTTTAGGGCCTGAGCAGGCCCTGGTATCAGCATCATGACTAAGATGCCTACAGGCTTAATTCCCTCGGTGAACCTGGGTTCTGTACCCAGCCACGGCAATGAAGATGGACAAACGCAATTCAAAGCACGGAGCACTGCAAAGGTCCATCATTAAAAAATGAGCTCAAAAGCAAATTTCTTTCTGCTTTGGTTAAAGATTGGCAGCAGGTTTGGATAACTAGTCATGGTAGCATCAGCTTCCTTCACACTTAGTTAACAGGACATCATTTCACTTAAAAAGATTGAGGGGACAGTATTACATGCTCAGACAGCACAGTGATGAATGCGCTATAAGTACCTGGGGAGACAGATTAGTTTGCTATTTCTGCTCACAGCCTTCTCCTAGGAGCACAGAAATGCCATCTCAGCATGCTTTTTCTGAGGATTAGAAAATCATAATAAACACAAGGATATACCACGGGAGTTACAGCTAATTTCTTGCTATAATTTGCAGCAATTTACACATAATCATTTGAAAAGAGTGCACAGTGCCAACAGCCGAGTGTCTGCTGAAATGGTGCAAATCAAGAGAATGAGAAATGCAGTTAGGGCTGAAGAAACCTCCAGAAGGGTCGTTTGGGACATTAGGTTCACAAGTTCTTCCTTGCAGTTGAATAATGCAGGAGATTTTATTTTACCATATGGAGCCCACTTTCTTAGGCTATAGGTGGATGGAATGAGCTTCATACCAACTGCTTTTAGACTTCAGAAAAGTCCTACTAAACAGCAATGTAGTCTCTGTATTTCTCTTTCTTTTATATGAAGGGCTTTTTTTTAGTTATTAAAAAAAAAGAAGCTTCAAACAGTAGGCACTAGCACCACAACATTTTCATGCAAACACACATTTGAGAAGGTAATAAAACTGTAGTAAAACTATTGAATTAGGGTTCAGAAATATGTTTTAATATCAATATTTATTTTGTGCATGTGAAAATTACTGAAATAACATTACACATTCACTTCTTTAATCATAATTTCTGTTCAAAGGTCTGGATTGATTATAGAAGAGGAAAACATCTATACACTGTACATTTGTATTTTTGTCCATTTTATAACTTAAAATAATTCAAAACAATTTGAAAGGGGAATAAAAACGAATGTGCCCCCAGACTGGAACTCTGCATGTAAAACAAAGATGAATTATGAACCTCCATGAAGAGGGATTTATAGTAGAAATACTAGTGTTGCTACAAACTTCTTTCACAGGGTCATCAACAGAGGGGATATGGAAAAAGGGGGGTGAAATGATTTATTGAAAGAATACATTATCTTCTAAAGGAAAGATGTTTAATCTATGAATCACTAACACTTGACCCAGGGCAAAGGTTACTAGTAGTACCAGGAGCAGATGCAGCTTTGACTTAAATAAGGGAGAAGTACAGGAGCAGATGCAGAGCTGATTTAAAAGGGAGAAGCAGGGAAGCAAGCACGCTCCTGGGAGGGCTGATGTAGAGGACAGGAAAGCTCCAAGGCACCCAGGTAACTTGTAACTGGTAAAGTGAGCTTGAATTTTAAAGTGATTTATTTCAAAAACATGAGATACATAAGCTTCTATTGGAAAATCGAACAGCAAAGAATTTAAAAGCATGCCTAACTTTAAACTGTTAGTAGTTTTAATGAATGGCTACTTTTTTAATTTTTATCCTGAAGGCACCAAAAGGAACTGGGCACCTATATTTTATCCATGCTCAGAGGAAACTCTTTACCTAAATCTTGCTCATATTTTGGAACTGTCATCCAGTGGGACTCTCTGTATGCTAAGTAAGGCTCAGATATGCCACTGAAATGCTGCCTCACTGGATTTTGAGTATCACCACCATTTAAAGTAGGCTTAGGTGTTGAATGCCTGTCTCTCCTGGCAGCATTATGTCTTTGGAAGACACAGATCTGAACCACAGCTGCAGATCAATCACAAATGGACTGTGCAAGTGTTCGTGTTGCACCTGCTATAGGAGGATGAAGCAACACTCCAGACCACCCTTGACTTGTGGGTTCAAGGGACACACTAAAGTTTTGGTTATCATTTTGAGGCACAAGTTCTTGACTTCTTATTTCATGAATACTCACAAGCATATTTTTCTCCCTCCTTCTGGGAGCAAGTACTTTCAGCCAGGAAGCTGACTTCAGTGTTTCTGCTGGCATCTGCAAGATCTTGCTAAGCTTCTACCAAGACTTTATTTGTTCATGCTCCATTGTTTGGGAAGCTTAGGGACCCTTATGTTTCTGTGGCTCACTGCTGACAACTATGACTATTTGTTCAAATTCTCCTAATTCCAGATAAACATTTGGAAAGGCTTATGAGAATGCAGAACATGTGTCTGCACATATGCACATGATGACACGTACATAGTGGAGCAGAGTGTTTGGCTGCCTCCTTGACTCATAATGATGACAGAACCTGGGATCCAGAAGAAAACAGGTTCTGACTTGGAATCAGTTACCAGCGGAAGTGACAAGGCAGCAGCTGAACCCTGAGTAACACAGCAAAACCTGGCCATTCCTACAGTTCCCTCATGTCTCTGGAGTGCTACAGAGGAGTCACAAGGGGAATTCTCATGCTTGAGCAATGGAGAACCACGGTGTGCATCTCCATGTGATCCATCCTCCCAGCCTTTGCTGTGTGGTATTTTGGGAGCAGACAGACCTTATGTCATAATACTCAGCCCTCACTCATTTGACAGCACCACAGTTCAACAGCAAGTTGGAGTAGCAGCTTGCTATAGTGTATGTTGGGGACCACTTTGGCTTTACAATTATCCCAGAATGTCTCAGTTGGCTCAGAAGATGCAAAACCAGCTGCATCCTCCCATTCTTCCTGGAGCTTGTCTTCAGTGCATCTCTGACACACAAAATGTAAACTGGGTCAAAGTCTCTGTTTCAATTGGTACAGAATTTGAGATCCAGGATCCTGATACTTTGTTTCTATCCTAGAAACATTAGGAGAAGGTCTGAAGAGTTTTAAAATGAACTGCTCCCAAAACTTCTTATGGAGATGATCTTTCCAAACTTTGGACAGGAGGCTTTGGTGCTTCCCAGCTGACACAATTCACAGACTCACAATCAGAATGGCCTGGGTTGGAAGGAACCTTAAAGATCATCCAGTTCCAACCCTCCTGCCATTGGCAGGGACACCTTCCACTAGACCAGGTTGCTCAGAGCAACTTAATCTGGCCTAGAACACTTCCAGGGATGGGGCATCCACAGTTTCTCTGGGCAACCTATTCCAGTGCCTCACCACCCTCACAGGGAAGAATTTTTTCCTCATACCTAATCTAAACCTACCTTCATTCAGTTTGAAGCCATTCTTCCTTGCCCTGTCACTCCAGGCCCTTGTAAATAGTCCCTCTTCATCTTTCTTGTCACCTCCCTTCAGGCACTGGAAAGCTGCAATTAGGTCACCCCAAAGCCTTCTCTTTTCCAGGCTGAGCAATCCAAATTCTCTCAGCCTTTCCTCATAGGAGACGTGCTCCATCCATTTAATCAACTTGGTGGCCTCCTCTGGACTTGCTCCAAAAGGTCGATGCTCTTCCTGTGCTGGGGATGCCAGGGCTGGATGCAGCACTGCACGTGGGATCTCACCAGAGCAGAGCAAAGGGGGAGAATCTCCTGCCTCCATCTGCTGCCCACACTGCTTTGGATGCAGCCCAGGACACGGTCGGCTTTCTCCTGGAAACACAGTATCATTTATTAATTTAGATCATTAACGGGGCTGAGTCCCAATCCTACCGTACTTCAGCTCGTTGCTGCACACACAACCCCAGAGCACAGGATGGAAGGTGCTGCGGAGCTCCAGGGATGCGCCGCTCCCTCCCTGCTGCAGCGCGGCCGGCTGCGACTAGATGTCAGCACTCCACTGGGCTACCGCGCCTCTGCGAGCACCAGCGAGCCCGGGGCTCAGGGCTGCCGGCTTAGTCCCCGTCACAGCAAAATACACGGGAAATAAAAGCCACCAAAGCCTCACGAAGTCTCATATCAGGGCTGTGCAGGACAGCTGGAAAGCTACACGTGAACTGAGCCGTTCTTCTGCAATGAAATCCAATACCACACACAAAAAAAATCGCCCCCATTTGGACATCAAAAAGGGAAGAAAAGCAGAAAAAAAACCCCTGCAATAATTTTCTCAAGGCCTCAGACTGTTCCTCCAGACAAAGATCACAGTTCCCACAATCACCTGGAACTGGAACAACTCTGGCAAGGCAGATGCAGCATGAATATCTCAACAAAGCTTTTGTCATTTGGCTTGGTTTTGTCTCGAATGCGATGAGATAACATCGTCTCTCACAAGTCAATTTTATGAGGAACTGTCAACTCAGTCCCCATCTGTTCTGGAAAAATAAGCCTTTTTCAGGTTAGGATAGGATGTATAGTCAAATCCACAGGGCACAGATTTAAATTAAAGCCCCGTCCTATTGCCAAGTAGTGAGGGGAGGGTTTGCATTTGAGCTTCAATGTCAATCTGGTTTCTATTTCAAGCCTTTTATTAACACTTAACACTTAAAGTATATTCAGAAAGGGGAGCGATGCAGTGTCTGAGAATGCAGTCTATGCAGCACTGGGGAGACAGAGCAGGTAGGAAGAAAAGTAGAGTTTCATTAAATTAAGGGTATTCACTTACATCTACAAAATATGAGTAAAGTCTGGTGGAAGAAAGGAAGGCACTGCCTAATGTAGAAAATGAGAATCAGAGCATTCGAGTGGCATGATACAGGCAAGAGATCCCAAAGCTGATTTCTTAGAGTGTTCAGAGTTGACCATTATTGCTTGGGGATGTGGGGCTGCACGCTCTGGTCTGACTTTTTGTGTGTATAAATATATAAAGTGTCACTGCTACTGAACATCCAACACTTGGAACTGCACCCTCCGCTGTATGCTATTGAAAAGGAAATGTGTCTAACACTGAACGAGAGAGACCTGGGGCATTTTCAACAGCTACATCCTGAGCTCTGGTCACCAGTGTCACAGCTGGCTGTTAGAGATGTCTGTTTAGAGCTGCCACCCTCTTCTGGGAGCTGAGCCCTGAGCTTCACCTCACAGTGCTTTAAGAGATCAAGAGACTAAGTAGCAGCATTTGCTCCAAAATTACCAAGGTATCAACACTGATTTCTTTCAATAATGGTGACATATTCATAGTCTTATTTCATCACCTCCTCAGAATTCTAAATGCTCCACTAATGAAGATATACCTGCTTTTGCCTGTGCTCTGCCACTGTTGACAGTGAAGGAAACAAAACTGGTCTCCTTAGGTATTGTTCACTGTTCTCATATTCAATTATTACTTATATTCTCAGAGTACAAAAAGCTTTTCATTAATCAATTACTAAGAAAGTCAGGAGTGATCTGTAACTTCACAAACTGTGCTGTATAGAAAGAAGCTTCTTGTCACATCTGCTTGAGTACCTCTCTCAGCCCTGTTTGCAGCTATCTGACAGGAGAAGAACTGGCTGGGTAGAGCACTGCCCCAGAAATTCCTGCCCAGTTGGGAGGAGTTAGGGACTGTCACATATTTTTTTGTTTATTTGTTTGCATTCCTCGTAAAATGCTAACAGTTTGCTGAAATCACTGAACATAACAAAGGCAAAGTCAGCCTAACAGCTCTGCCAAAGCAGCAGCTGCAGGTATTGGATAGAGGACACCTCTGAACTTTCAAAATGAGCTTTGGTAAGAACGTGCATGCATGAAAGAGTGGAGATCAAGCTTTCCATCCCCAGCCTGCTCCCAGTCCTGGCATCACATCCTTCCCTGGAGGTAATATCTAACGTGAGAGTTTTCCAGCTCGCACTGCCCTCCTAAAACCACTCCCTTCCAAAAGTGAACGCAGAACCAAGCCTTCTCTTTCTTTGCTTCCAAGACAAAGTAAGGGCACTATTTCCCTGCATCACTGAAGTGATTGATGCTGTGCTGTGCTGGCGACAGCTTGAGGTTTCAAACCCCGCTGTGCATGGAAGACTGTATTGTGTCATTCTCAGCCAGACTCACCACATATAGAAGAAAAAACCTGATGAGGAAGTGGAAACTACCCTGGTCTACCCAATGGGTTTCTGCAAAAACTGATGTCAGAGGAGCAGCACATGCATTTTGTGGGGCTGTCTAGGGTTAGCAAGGTATTGGCACCAGAGCTGCATCACAGTCCAGACATACTTTGCCCCAGTGTAATTTGGTGCCAGTGATACCCTGACAGCTGAGACTGGAGCCCTGTGCTGGCCACCAGGCATGTGACTTTGCTCCTCTTCCATAGATCTGAGCATTAGGGAGTGCCCAGGACTGGAAACAGGCTCACAGCCACTCCTGGGGCAAAGTAAAGCTATTTGGGGGGGGGCTGGAAGTACCTTTTGCTTTCAGAGAAGGAAGAGGAGTGAATGAGAGGTGGGGAAGAAGAAGAGGGATAAAGAGAAGGGGATGGAAAAAGAGAGGGGTCTCCAGACATCAAACTTCAAACTGCTTGCTGCTCTGAAGCCTTTGCAATGAGGTGGGGTTCTCTACAGGCACATACTGACCCTTTAGCAAGATCAGGTTGCCTCAGCAGAGAGGTTTGTAAGGAAGAAGCTGGCTAGATACCCCTGCCTCTTCTCCCAAAAATAACGGCTTGACCGAAAATTTGAATCTAAGAACAATTGTAGATATCATGATATTTCTTTGTTACCTGTCCTGAAAGATTCAGGTGGACTCAGGTGGATTCACACATCACTGGCTTGGCCCTATGTTTTCCATCCCATGTTCCAACATGCTGACTGCATTAGCATTGTCTTTTATACTAATAATGTCTTTTACAGCAGAACTCCCCATGGGGGAAAGAAATCTTTGAAGCTACCCATTCAAATCTTCAAAGAAGGACCTCGAAGAGCACTCACAGAGAGAGTGTGGGAAAGTCTGGAATAGAGAATAATGCTATAAAGCTGGCTTTCCCCTTTGTCCATCCAACCCTGTACCACTGTTGTACACCCACTTTTTGCAGTTATGTAAAACATCTTGAGTGATGAAGAAAGTTTATCCATTCTTCAATCCTGTTGGAAATGTCTACCAGTTTCTTCAAAAAGTTGTGACCAGAAATAACCCACAAACCTGTAATACAGATTGCAGCCTTAACCCTGGCAGAGAGGAGACTGGAGTGGGGGAAGATGGGGGTGCTGGAGGGCGGCTGCATGATCCAACAGCATGCACTTTTTAGGCATCTTTTAAAAGCCAAACTCCTAACCTCTGCTACTGCTACATAGCAAAAGTCCCTAAGAAATGCAAATTTATACTACTAAAGAATCTGGTAAAATCTGGTAGACTTTAGTTGTGGAATCACACTATTTAAAGAAATAGTAAATCACTCAAGAAGACATATTTTATGCCCTTTGAGCAGACACTTTTTCTTTCATTTCCTCTGTGACATATTCCCCAACCCACACCATTAAGTCATACCTCTTACAGGAAATTCTGTGGTAAAAGCAGAAAGATTCCATCAAAAGCAGACGATAAAAAGTCGTCTGCATGTCCTGTGGCTGCTTATTACCAACCCTGATTAAGAGCTGTGCACTGCTCTCTGCATTTCCCATTGAATGGAAACTGCTGAGTTCTATTACGTTTATTACTTAGCCCAAGATTATCTGCAATATGTGCTCCAGGAATCACACCTCGGACCAGCCCAAACCAGGGTTGCTCATGTCTTGCGAAGCATTGCATCTTCTCTGCAAGATCAAACAGAGGAGGCCCTCAGACCACTCTTGGACAGGATTGACATCACCTCTGTAGCTGTCGCCAAGAGAATTTTCAATGGTGTCATGGAAGAAAAGTTTGCTGATGGAAATACTAACTGGGGACGAATTATGACCATATTCACATTTGGAGGTCTTCTCACTAAGAAGCTTCAGGAGCACGGAGTTCAGCTGACTGCAGAGGAGAAGGAGCAGATCTCCTATTTCATCACAGAGTACATCATAAACCACAAAGCTGAATGGATAGATGCGAATGGTGGCTGGGTGAGTTTCTCATTTTACACCAAAGTCTTGATTAGGAAATTGCATTTAATTAAAGGAAAATATTTTTATAGCCACTGTCAGAAGCATTTTATTCAGGGTTTCATTTGGTGGTTTAACATTTTATGTCTGGAATGTCTCATTGAGACTTACGGTGAGAGCTTCACTTCTGCTTTAAACAGAACAAAACTAAAAGAAAACTTGCTCTTTAAAAGGCACTTTCTGATCTTTCATCATAGGATCATACCATAATTCAAGCTGAGAGGGACCTTAGAAAATCATTTGGTCCAGCCTTCTACTCAAAGCATAGGGGAACTATGAAATTTCCATATTAAATCTAAAATTAAGTGGCATCCTAAGGTCAGTGTGGCAATTTTGCTTCCATAGAGGAGTCAGTCCAAAAATACTGTGGTTCAGTTTAAGGGAAGAGTGCACAGGTATGATCCTCACAAATCAAGTCAGTACTTTTGCTGTGGATTTCAACAAAGCCATTCTTTAATCCCCCAAATCAGTTTTACTTAGAACCAAGGTCCAGTTAAGTACAATTGGGGTTAAATCTTTATTGTTCGGAGTGAGATAATCCTAGAACTTCCAGTTATCAATGGTCAATGCTGAGAAAAACACTAGTCAATAAGTGGATTATTTTGCCCAGCTGCTGAAATTACCTTCTGCCAGTGGAGGGAAGGGCCCTTTTGCTTTTGCAGAGTTTCACCAGACCAATACTTTTTTCTTTTGCAGTTAGGGGAATCTGAGAATCTATGACACGAGTGTCAGTTATTTCCTTGGTACTTTTTCCCTTTACTTATATGTAAATGTCACTTTCTCTTTCCACCTCCTCTCATCCCACTTCTCTCATATCTCCTATTTGCTATTACTTTTTTCCTGATTTATTTTCTAGTGACTTGCTTTTCCTTTTGTTTTTCTGCTTGTTTTAATCCTTCTCTGTCTGTAGCTGTAAAAAAGAAGTGATAGTGGCTCAGGGCCCCTTGGTGCACCAGATTTATTGTGCAGGCTTCTCTTTCCATCTCTTTCAAATAAAGTCAATTTTATTTAAGAGAAGTATCAACTTCTGGCAACATTCTGTCATAATAGGTGGCTCATCATAGTAGAATAAGGAGGCTTAAAGGAAGATATTTCTAAGTATATTACTACATCAGAAACATAGTACTTGTATCTCCCTGGAAGATGTGGGCTCAGGTGATAGACTTCATGTCAGTTTTCTATTTACACAGGGAGGGCACAGTCTTGACTTAGAGATAAAACAAACATTCAATGAGGTGCAGCTATTTTCAGCTGTAGCTTTGAAAGTCCTATTCATCTTTTGGAGGTAGAGCTCTGAAAAGCTGTCCCTCTACTCACAGTGCTGTAGCACCCTGTTAATCTGACACTAGCACAGGGTGGTGGGGTTTTCCTACATGTTTTTAAGCTGTCCCTAACTGCTTTTTCTTTTCCATAGGAAAATGGCTTCCTAACAAAGTTTGAAAGAAGATCACTACTATCTTTCTCCAAAATTACAGCCCTGTTCATAGCTGTTTTCTCCTTGCTCAGAGAGTACTACTGAAATAAAAGGACCTGCCATTTATGTGTAATCTAGGTATTGCCACAACCTTCACTTCTCAGCCTTCCTCCAAGACATATTAACAAGAAAATAATTTCCTTCCATAATTTATTTGTATTTATTTTGACTAAATACAATGTTTAACATGCTATCCTAATTACCAAACCTGAAGATGAGATCCCTCCTAAGAGGAATCCACACAACGTCATGCAGCAATTCAAGTCTACCTTTCCAGGCAGGATTGAGATAATTTTCCACATCCAGACAGCTCTTGGAATCTCTCTTGAATCTCCATGAAAGGACATTGTTTTAGCGAAATACAATCCAATGGGTTAAGAAACAAGGTTTTATGTCATTTGTTTTGTAAATGAAATACTACTGTAATGCATTTTATTGCAATCCTTGTATAAGCCAAAGGGGGAGATTTTTATGAAGAAAAAAGGAATGCAAATTCCAATATAAAAGTGGTTAGAAGTTACTGACACAGACTAAGCAATTTCTACGGGAAGAACTATTTGTGGAAGCTGGCAACTTAAAAATGTGCACTCACTTACTGTTACTGCAATGGTATGTGTTTCTGTGCTGTATTTTTTAATTGCTCATAGCTACAGTGAATGTTCTTTCATATCTGTGTGATGTAATCATCTTGCTGAACTTTTTTTAAAAATAGGCAAGTATAAAATATTTTTAAAGTGAGAAAATTATGTAAATACACTAATATTTTTTAAAAATATATTAAAATATGCATTTTAAAGCCTTAGGATTGGTCTCATTTTTTACCTGATTAGAAAAGCTATCACAATGCTACTGGAAAATCCCATAGTATGTGGGTTTGACCTGACATTCATGGATGTCAAGACTTTAATTTTCTGCAGTACTTCTGGTATCTTGTATAAGAAACAGACATCTCGTGGCAAAATAAATGAATTGGATCATTACTGGATCATTACTGATGACAGTAATTAGTGTTTTATGTTGCAAAACTCCACAAATTCAAAGTAGTATGTAAGAGACTTCCTGGCTTTTACAGACTGGGGCAATTACTGTTTTGACTCCGAGTGCACTTGCTTTCAAAGGTGAAACAGTAGTTCTTCAAGAATTCATTCTAGAAGGGTTTGCTTCAGCTGTAGTGACTCTCCTAGACTAGAGTACTAAGGCTGGGTCTAAACACCCTTCTTTCATAGACATGTTGGGGAAGTGAATCAAACTGAGCCAGCAGTTGCCTGTGGCACACAACAGCACTATTCTCTGACACAAATCCTCTAGAAAATCCAGCCTTTATGACACTGAGAGAATGAAGCAGCCTCCTTCTGGTGAAGGGCTCTCCATCTTCCATTCTTTCAGCAATGAATTTTGCATCTTTCATCTCAATGTAAGGCATTTTTTGCAGTAAGAAGAATCATTTACTGGAACAACCTCCCCAGGGACGTGGTGGCACCCTCATCACTGGCAGTTTTCAAGATATAACTGAAAACAGAGATTATTTAGCATGTATAGCAGGACTTGTGAGATAAAAGTTTGTTGCTGTTGAAAAAAAGATGGCAGCATTCTGAGGGCAAAGGGCAGCTAAGGGAAAATGCTCACCTCCAGAACACCTATGGAAGTTCCTGTCAGAAATGACATTTCAGAGCATGTTATGACATATATTTATTTATTTGCAGTCTAAGCCTTCATGATAAGAACAGAAATTCTTACTTTCTTTTTGTGCACTATTGCAAATGCAGATATAGTGGCTTACACCAGTCTATTAATACCCCATCCACTTCCTTTTACACTGATCTACTAACCTATTTCATACTCAGGAGTACAGTTCTTTATTCAAATATAAAGGGCCAACCATGCCTTTTCAAAATCCAGATGATACAATTATTTTACAACTTGTCTTCATGGCAAGGCCTGGGTTTAAACAAAAAAAGCCTGGATCATTAACAGTCCAGTGGGCTCCAGGTTATCTTCACCAGGAAAAAACCTTCCTTTGCTCTGCATTTAAGAGCAAGAAAAGCAGTGATAAGATGCACCACCCTGATTCTAAACATAATAATATGTCTGAAAACAGCAAAGCTACTAGTTAAGTCTTACAAAATCGTGTAGATACACTTTGTTAACTGTCATGAAGTTATCCACACATGACACTGAGCAGTGCCAAGGTCCCGGGGCACCGCTGTTTAAGGGATCCTTACAGCTGTCAGGCAACACATGGGAGAACACAGTGCTGCTTCCAGAGCAAAAGGTGAGGTCAGAGAGCTGCACCGTGGGACAGCTGATGACTTCATCCATCTGTACTGTGGCTAAATTGAGATGTCATCAAATGCCACGTGGAAGAGATTTATGAAAACAGATGTTCTCCTGTGGAAATGTAGCTTTCTGCGCCTAAAATCACAGAATCACAGAACCAATTAGGTTGGAAAATATCTCTGAGATCTTTTGAGTCCAGCCTTTGACCGATCACCACCTTGACAACTAGACCATGGCACAAGACACGAGACCATAGACACCAGATATTAGACACTGTCAACTAGACACAGGTTGCTTCTTGAACACTTCCAGGGACAGTGACTCGGCCACCCTGGGCAGTTAAAGGTGGGTTGGAACACTCCATGTGCCAAACACCGGCCTACAGTGCTTCCCTTTGGACACAGCTGCATGGCTGGCACACCTTCCCTGGGGGCACAGGGCTCTCACCCCTTCCCTGGGGGCACAGGGCTCTCCCTCCTCCGCGCCCCTCCCTCGGAGCCCGCTGGCAGATGCCGCAGGGATATGAAACCGCCTGGTAGACGGTGGTAAAATATCCCGCCGAAACGTAATTTCCCTTCCTGCAACAAAATCAGTGAAGGGGAAATCCTTCGCTATCTGCGCCAGGCTTAAAAAAAAAAAAAAAAGAAAAAAAAAAAAGAAAGAAAAAAAAGGCTGTTGTTGGCAGGGCCCTCCAGCACGGCGGGGCCGGGGCCGCGGGGCCGTTGCCCTCCCCGGGCCCCGAGCGGCGGCCGCGGGGCGCGCCCGGCGCACTCGGCGCATGGAGGAGCCGGCGGGGGACGCGATGGCGGCGGCGCTGCGGGCGGCCAAGCGGGCGCTGCGGGGGGAGCTGCGGCAGCGCCTGCGGGCGCTCGGCCCCGCCGAGAAGCAGCGCCAGTCCCGCCTGCTCGGGCTCAAGGTGGGTGCGGACGCGGCCCCCAGAGCAGCGCCCGGCACGGCGCGGGGAGCGCGGCCGGGACTTTCCAGGCCCCGCCTGCAGACCGAAACCGTGACTCAGGGCGCCCGGCGGCTCCTCGGGCCCTGCCGCCGAGCGGGGGGTGGGCTCCGCCTCGGAGCCTGCCCCTCGTCCCTCCTCGGCACTGCCGGGGACCGGGGCTGGTGGCGCCGCTGTGTCAGGGACTGCCGGGAGCAGCGCCCGGTCACCGGGCTGGGGGGATGTGGGGACACACACGGCGTGGACTGCTGGGGACACTTCACTCACGGGATTGTGGGGCCCAGCACGTGTGGGGTGGTGGGGACACATCACCCATGGGATTGTGGGGCACAGCACGTGTGGGGTGGTGGGGACGCATCACCCACGGGATCGTGGGGCACATCACCTTTGGGGTGGTGGGGACACTTCACTCACGGGATTGTGGGGCCCAGCACGTGTGGGGTGGTGGGGACACATCACCCACGGGATTGTGGAGCACATCACCCACGGGGTGGTGGGGACACATGACCCGTGGGTGTTGGGAACACCGGGGGCAGACTGCCACGCACCCCAAGTGGGGCACCTCGGGGGTGGTGGTGGTGGGTGTTTATCTCAGACGTTTCACATCACTTCACGTGGCTGCATGGCCAGCTCTGGCCGCACACACAGAAAAACTCAGCGACTGCCTGATTTGGCCTCTTGTTTTATGCGCTGTCATCTCCCCTCTGTATCTTACAACGGTGTTTCTTCCATGCAATTTTATTTCTAATATAATTTTTACACTTTAAAAGATATCAAGCTGGGTTTGCCTAACTGGTATCCTACCACAGCGTGATGTGGGTATGTACTTTTGAAATGTCCTGTTTGTGTTTGGATTACACAGTTTTTATAGAGATGTATTTTATCATTTTAATAAACACGATAAAATTTTATTTTGCAGTCACTGCATGTAATAGAGCACAGTCCTCATTTTTTTTGCAGCACCAGTGGGTACTTCTGGATGATCTACATTTATATGGTTATTTTCCTGCCAGAGGATCTCAAATCATTTTATAGACTTCATTTACTACTAATGTGTAGCCACTTCATGAGTGGGATGTGGCAGCACAGAAACTTTAGGTTGTAGGAAGTTTAACTGGAACTCACATAACCTTTTTTTTCATAGAGAATACTTTTTGTAAGTATGTATATATGACACGTCCTATGGTCATGATAATGCATTTTAGTAGTTACACATCCTAGACTTAAATCTCTCAATTTTTAGCAAATAGTGTCATACATCCTCTTCAGAAATGCAGAGTCCTCAGCCAACTTTGTAAGCACCTAGCCCATGTAGTACTGAATTTTTAGGAGCTCTCAGCCTTTGTCTAACTGCTGCTGATAAATACAGCAACAGAGCACTCATTTCTGTTAGTGAGAGGACACTGGAAGATACAGCTTTTGTTTTGCTTAAAAGAAGCCATCAGGAAGTAGGACATAAATTGATGTTATCCTGCCGTTTTAATAATCTGACACAAATTGAAAATCCTGAGCTTGCATGAGACAGAGTGGCATTGTGCAAGGGGCAGACAGTAGAGTCAGCTTCCTTACAGGGGGGTAATAAACCAGGCATGGAGAAGTTTTTGAGAAGGCTGAGAAAATATCTGGAATGATCTAAGGCCAAAAATGTAGCTCTGTAACATATATCAGTGCTTGCAGCTAATAAAAGTGAGCAGGTTATTTTATAACACCTGAGTAATATTTTTAGTAGTAAAATCTCATTTCAAAATAGTCCTTATATTCCAAATGAAATAGCTTCACAGGCAGACCTAGTCACCAGTATTTAATTAGCTCCTGGATTATTATTCTTTTTTAATGTTTATGTTCATGATTAAAGTCGTGCTGTTTGCATACTCTGATTCTTCAAAAATTTCCATCAGCTAGTGAACAAAGGGCAGTACTACCTGTGAAGTGTGGAAATTTTTTCACTCTTCTCAGAAACTGCTCCGAGTCATAGTAGGAGCATATTCACAGTTCTGAGAACATCTGAAATTCTGTCTTCCTGCTCACATGTGGGTTTACATCTTCAACCTCATTTTTTTTCCTCTCTACAGCCTAATCAATGTGTTGCTGGCTATGTCAGAGCAGATGGGACCTGTGTGGTGCCCACAGCACACAGCCCCCCTCTGAAAGAGAGTTCGGGGTCTCAGTTTCTCTCTTCACCAAACTCATGAGAAGTTTCAGCTCTGGAGGCCCTCAACAGTGTGAATCACAGCCATTTGCTGGAGTCTGAAGTTTCACTAAATAGTCCAGTTTTTCAAACAAAAGCTGCCATGGAAATTCTGTTCTTTAAGAGCTTAATCCCTTGGTTGGAAAAATCCACGTGTTGGGCTGGGCAGGTACAAAAAGAAGTAAAATATGGGTTTGAATTGTTAAGTATGGCCAAGGAACAACACATCACTGTAATTTGGTCTGAAGTGTGTATTTTTTTTTCCCCTTGAAAAATTATATTTATCTTCTGACTGATTCACCTGGGCTTTTAAGTGCTCTGTTGGAAAGAAAGAAAGAAAAAAAG